TGCTTTGTCTTCAGCAGTTGTGTCGGGAAGGTGAGCATCATAGAATGCCAATTTAATAGAAGAAAGTATTCTTGCATTGATGGAGTACTTGAGTGGAGGCCCAGTGTCCATCTGCTACCTTAATACTAAACCTATAAATATAGACACAGAGATCTATTTCCCCATCCTCACATATAAATGGGAAAGGATACTTTTTTAGACTAGAAATTAATTATGTAAATGATATTTTGAGGTAAATTTGGTTACTATAGCTTATTTTATAAAATCAGCTCATAAAGTCATTTATATGTCTTTATTAGCTAAACAATAATACATTGTTTTCCAGAAAATTCAAATAAAAATAATAAAGAATAATATTTCTATCCTTTGAGTGATAATTTTTACGATGGCAATTTGAAATATCGTAACAGTAATACTTCAGTTATTGAACTCAATTCATTCCAAATTTTTGTTTGAACACCAAAAAATTTGAGAACTGACCATTTTTTTCCATAAGAAACAATGGCAAACCAACTCATTGGTTCGGAGGCCCCAGAAGAACACTTATCAATTCACTATGGAGGCTTTCAGCCTTCTGGAGCATCACTGTCTCAGACATGCTGTCGCCATCAAGTTGTTTTTAACTTATCCGAACTAACAGTAACTTTCAGCCTCGTCCATGGTCTGACTTCCTTGTTTGGTGCTGGTTAACGATTTCGTGCCGGTTTCATCACATTTCCATTTTTTTCAGAAATATTGGTAATGTCGACTTCGCCATGTTGTATTTAGCTGTCAAATCAGACAAGCGGCGACCTGATTTCAATTCCGTAATAATTTTTTTCTTAAAATTTATGGTGGGTCTCACAGTTTTCCTCTTAGCTTACTGCGGGTATCATTAACTTTCTTTGGAGCCATTTTTTACGATATTTTACACAAATAAAGCGCATAAAAAGCATAATGATGTATCTTTTGGAGCACTAAACCCAAGCATTGTTATGCTGCCTGATGGAGAACCTTGCTTAGACTGAAGCATCATCCTTGGTGTCAGTGGAGAGACCAGACAGGGGACTCACTCTTGGCTCATTCAGGCATTTTCGAGTCGGAATTTTGGTTCAACTACCCAGTAGTTAGGAACACTGAGCGATTTTTTTTCTTTCAGAGTTTGTTGCTCAGGTGGTAAAAGTTCAAGCTTGGAGCCTTTTGACAACCAAGGTATTGCTGTGATACTTAAAAATTTAACAGTTGTTAACAACGGAGTTACCTTAACTATCTTTTGTTTATTATATACAGCCATAAAAGGGGGGGGGGAACTTACTTTGTTTTTTAAAGATAGCATCTTTATTATAATGTGAATCTCTGCTTATTAAGATAAAAAAGTCAAAAATGAGAAATTTTAAAGTAAGGAATGACAGCCGCACACAATGTTACCCTCCAAATAACTGTTAACATTAAATTCATATACTTGCCAATTGTTTTTTCTTACATGTATTTTCATATAGCTAGCTACAGAGTCATTCTTTTACATAAATGGGAAATTAATCAATAATTTGAAAAATTATTTAACCATTCTACTTGTGCAATGTTAATATATATACATATACATATATATCCTTCATACTTTTTAAAGGCTCCACAGTATTTTATCCTTTGGACTTTAACCAATTCCTTGTATATGGACATTTAACTTGTTTCTCTTCTTCTGGGATTATTCAAAAAGTAGCAATGGACATTTACTTTATTTTACGGTGTATTTTGTGCTCTCATCTCCATTTATGTCCTGAGAATAAACATTTAAAAGAATCAGTAGAGCAGAGAATGCATCTACAATATTAACACAGATCATCAAACCAAGCCTATTGCCTTGCAGTCTGTCAACTCTTAGCACACTTACAGAACACACTCTTAGCACACTTACAGAACACACTCTTAGCACACTTACAGAACACACTCTTAGCACACTTACAGAACACAGTGAACTGCCTACAGGGTCTCAAGGCTATACACTGTTTTGAAAGTAGACCGTCACATCTTTTTACAGCAGAACAATTGGTAGGTTTAAGATGCCTACCTTTTGGTTAGCAACCTGGTACTTAACTTCTGCATCACCAAGACTCCTCTTCAAATCCAATACCTACTAGTTATATCTACTTGAGCAAGTTACAAAGCATTACAGGTTTTTTTTAATGTCAAAAGGAAATGATATCACTCAGATCTACAGGGTTGTAGTTTGAATGGCAGATAATGTATGCAAAGTGTATATAAGAGTTCTACAGAGCACTCAAAAAGTGATAGCAGTTATTGTAATTTAACTTAGATACTTAGTAATATTATTGTCCTGATGTTAAATAACTAGGGCATTTCTAGCCATTTCTCTGTAACTCTCACCAAGTGCTTGGGTGAATCCATGCAAAGAAGGTGTAGAGGACTCAAGGATTGGTCAATTTTGCCATTCTTCTAAATATAAGAGAGTCCTCTCAGAAGTATGAGACAATCGTAAGGCCATGAAGAACAATATCCTTAATGTTTTTGGATCCTAGCTTGTTAACTTCATTAATAATCCCCATAATCATGAGTAATATTGAAGGAGTCTATGGGCAAAATAATGAATGATGCAGGAAACATCAAAAGAAGATTGAAAGAAAACAGAGTCACTGTAACAAAAAGAACTAATCAACATCCCACCACATCAGAAAGTAGTATGTGAGCAAGAACCAATGATACCGAAGGACAAGCGGCACTAAAAGCATTAGCCAAAAACAAAATTTCAAGAAATGATGGAATACTCTCAGTCTTGGAAGTTTACTCATTTGTCCGGTTTCTCACTGAGCAAAGAACAAGCTCTAAATGAAAAGGGACATAGAAAAGATATTGTGATAGGAAACATATCAGCAAAGGTTCCTAACTTCTATGGCAGGTAAAAGGAGCTCTGAAGGCACAGTGGATTAAGCCTTGGGCTACTAACCAAAAGGTCTGTGGTTCAAACCTATTAGCTGTTCCACAGGAGAAAGAGGAAGTTATCTGCTACCTAAAGATTGAGTGTCAAAAACCTTAAGGATAAATTCTACTTTGCCCCATAGGATTTCTATGGCTTATAGGATTTCTATGCATTGCAGTGAGTTTGATTTATAGCAGATGGATCCTGGGTAGTTATTGGGTAGAGTGGAGTAGATTCCAACTCATAGAGACCCTGTATTGGACAGAATAGAATTGTCCTATAGGGTTTTCTCAAGGAGCCCTGCTGGTGTAATGATTACTCTTTGCTGCGATCCACAAGCTCAGTAGTTCAAAACCACTCAGCAGGAGAAAGACGGGACTTTCTTCTCCCATAAACAGTTAACATACTGTACTTGGAAACGCACAAGGGCCATCTACTCTGTCCTACAGGGTTGCTATGAGTTGGCATGGACTAGATGGCAGCGAGTTTGGTTTTATAGTTTTCTAGGATCTGAGTAGGAATGAGAACTATGGCAGTAGGTTTGACTTGGAATCTTCACCAGAGCACACTACTGGGTCTTCCTTCTGAGTAGCGGCTGGTGGACTCAATAACCACCCTTTTGGTTAGCAGCCATGCGCTTAACCATGGTACCACCAGGGCTCCTTTACGATCCAGCTATAACATCATAAAATACTGCTGTGGAAGAGCCCAGACCCTGATGTTGTTCAAAATCAGATGTGTGTCTCAGCCCCTGCACTACCTAGGAATATAGCTTCCTATGTGCCAACGAAGAAAAGGGTACTGATCACATAGGGTGGTTGTAGACTAACAACGGACATAATTAGTGTTCAATAAAATGTTAGTTAATATAATTTGCTGTTCTTATGTTATTGAGGAAGGAGGGTCCTGAGGAGAAATGGGAAAAGTAATTCATTGGCTTCACTTTACAATGAAATCCGTGATAGTTCAGAGTATTTGACAGCTTCTGTATCCATGGGGTAGCCTTTTCTAAAGCTTTAAGTAGATCGTTGAACAAACTTTTATTTAAAGACCCTCTGGCGTGATATTTTCCCTTTATATTCATAACAGAAAAAAGGATCCTTCCCATCACCACGTCTGAAAGCAAAATCTCTAGAGAAACGCATGCTATTAGTAGCTAAGGAACGGAACTCTAATAATAGTTTTCAAATAAAGCATTTGAAAGACACAGACGGTAGAGGACGCGGTGAGGTTTCTAAATCCAAAAATGCTACAAGAGGAAATAACGAAATGTTATCACAAGAAGTCTAAACAATGCACAGTTCTACCAATTCCAATTCATCGTAAGGCCCAGGTTTCTTGCCACTTTTTTGCCTAGCCAACACGTTCACCAGTATTAGTTGCTTTTGTAACTAAACACCAAGGGGGCGGGGCCAGGGACCAGGGCGGAGCGGGCTGCTTTCCCACGTCCCGCCCCTTCCGGTTTCTCCACGCCCCGCCCACGTGCAGGTCTCCGACATCCCGTCAGGCCCAGCGGCTAGGAGAGTCACGTGACAGTGGGCGTTCTAGCTGGAGGCTTGCCTTGGCTTGGACTACGTCTCTATGGTTGTCAGAACTGGGCGCCTTCGGAGCAGGAAGCGGCCGACGCTCGATCGTGGCCGGGTGAGTCGTGGAGTTGGGAGACTGAGCGGAGACAGCCGTTCAGGGGACGGTTGGGCGTGGGGAGACTTGCCCCCCCGGGTCAGCTGTTTGCCTCTCCTGGTGTTCGGCGACTTTTCGGGTCTCTCTCTGATGCGCTCAGCTGCGGCGGGTGAGAGGAGTCGTTCTGTCTGCCTGCTTCTCGACCTCCGCTTTTCTTTACCTCACCCGGTTCCTTCTCCGTATCCGAGGAGAACTTGTCTGTGCTCCCTAACGCGCCGCCGTACCTCCCTGCACGGGTGACCAGGAGACTGGCAGTCCCGACTGACTCCCCTGGACCCAGCTCTCGGGGAGCCCCGCCCCTGTGAGCTTTGTGGACGGGGGTCGGGGCAGGGAATGGGGAGTTTACAGTTGATGGGGTCGTAGCGGAAGCTTCGTGGAGACCCAGAGCGGCAATACAAAGGCGGGCTTCTCGGACTGGGTGGCCTTTATCTTGTCCGGCTGCTTCGCGTTCTCATCCTTTCCCCCATCGGGCTCCACTTCAGATGATTTGAGAAGGAGCCGGGTGTGACCGACTGCTCGTGAATCTGGGAGAAGAGTTGTTAAAAGTGCTGTCTGTGTGATCTTCTGTGACCCCACAGGACAGTGTGTAACTACCCCAAAGGATTGCCAGGACTCATCTTTACGGCAACCGAATGTCACATCTTTCTTCTCGCAGTGGCCGTTGGGTTTGAACCCAGACCTTTTGGTTAGCAGCTGAGTTTTTTTTAACTACTGTGCCACCAGGGTTCATTTTTCGTCAACTCTAAACAGAGGAAATGCTTTGGGACCCAAGACTCATTTTCTTCCTTTTATAAATAGATCACACACACTCCCCATACACACTTCTACAGCACGGTGTTCTGTTAAAGCTATATGGAGGTGATCAAGCAGTATCTGAGTAGCAGCAAAGGTGAACAGGTTTGGAGCTGTAGCTGTAGGAGAGTTGACAGTTTCATTGAACAATGGGACAGGTGTCACATCTTGAGATCTAGATGTTAGTTGTCGATAAGGACAGGTAATGAGCTTGATGACTACTGCCTTATTCTTAAAACTTTCGGAAGTGCCACTTACCTGTGGGGAGGTGATTTTCTGGCCATCCAAGTTTTCTTACGAGGGTCATAAAGCACAGGTAACATGAACAAAAGCTAAGATTCAGGAGTGGTTTGTGTGTCTGGGGAGAAGAGGAGAGAATGGTAACATGATAACAGCAAGAGAGAAAATGCATGTAGGTTATTGCCAGTTTCTTGCATAAGCTACAGAGCATTTATCATAGTCAGTAGACTTGCCATTCCTAAGAGGTGCATTTTGAGACTGAATTTCCTAAGTTGGAGGGAGAAAAGTGCTATACTTTTCCCTACATTGCAATATTTTGTAAATTAATTAAAACAGAAAGATTTAACTGACACCTACTGGCAATTTCTTACCCAGAATAATAGGATTAAAGTTATTCATAAAGCTATTAAACTGGTGGCACAGTGGGTTATGTGTTGGGCTGCTAACCTCATAGTCGGCTGTTTGAATCCACCAGCTGCCCTGCAGGAGACTGATGAGACTTTCTGCTCCTGTAAAGATGGACAGCCCTGGAAACTACAGGGGCAGTTCTGTTCAGTCCTACAGGGTTGCTATGAGTTGGAGTCAGAATCAACTCGCTGGCTGAATTTGATGAAGCTGGATTTTGCCACTTTTATTCTTTGAAATTAGTTCTACCTCCTGAGCAGTTTGTACGGTGGCTGTAGCACTTGCTGCACATTGAGCTCTTTTCTCCCACCATATAAGCCCACTGCATGTAATCGATGTCTAATTATTGGTGGAGTGGCCCTGCTCCATAGTCTTTCCAAGGCTGTCAATCTTTCTGGGAGCAGAAAGCCTCCTGTTTCTCCTGTGGTGTGAGTGGGTTTGAACTGCTGACCATGTGGGTATAAAAACCCCACTGCCACAGAGTCAATTCCAACTCGGGCAACCCTAGATAGAGGGTTTCTGAGGCTATAGATCTTTACTGGAGCAGATAGGCCCATCCTTCTCCTGTGGAATAGGTGGTGGGTTTTTTATCCAACAACAATCAAGTTTTAAAATGGCTTATGATGTTTTTCTCAACATAAAATGACAATAGCTTTATTTTGTGCCTAAGGGAAAATATTATTTTAGGACAGATAACCTGTTTCCTTCAGGAAATTATGGGGGGGAAAAGTTCATGTTCTTAAGACATTATACTTTTCCTTTTAAAAAAAATAATTTTATTGGGGGCTAGTACGCTTATCAAAATCCATACATGCATCCATTGTGTCA